GATTAGCTGGTATAAAGATATCTGGAAAAGTTGTCAGAGAGGTGACATATGTGGAGCCCACAGCTTAGAACAGGGACCAGCAAAGGCCAACTTGCCTTGGCTCTCAAGCAAGTTAGATATTTGTGCACAAGAATAACTCCTCCATTGCCATATGACCTGACATTTATGCTCATGATATTTCCCCAACAGAAATATTTCCCCAACACATTTCTCTGAACAGAAAGCAACAACAATAACAAAAAACTTGTGTGCGAATGTTCATGGCAGCTTCATGGAGTAGAAATAAGCCAAATGCCTATCTGTGTGAACAAAGTGAACGTGGCTCACCCGTATCGCAGCATAATATTATCTGGCAGTAACAAGAAAAAGAAAAAAGGAGTGAAGTACTGGGTGCTGTGGGAAGGTCACTTGGCCGTTCTGGCTGTCAGCAACTCAGACCTGGAATATCACACAAAAACTGTATTATTTAAATCACTGTTTGGCCCATTAATTCTAGTGTCTTATTGACTAACTCTTACATCTTAATTTAACCCACCTCCATTAATCTGTGTATCACCAAGAGGTCATGGCCTACTAGCAAAGTTTCAATGCATCTGTCTCCAGCAGCTCCATGACTTCTCCTCACTCTGCCTTCTTCCTCCCAACATTTAGTTTAGTTTTCCCCACCTAGCTAAGTGGAAAGAAGACAAACCCAGAACCTACACGTTGTATGGTTCCCTGTGAAATGTCCAGAATAAGGAAGCCGACAGGAACCAGGATAGATTGATGGCTGCGGGGTGTGTGGGAGTAAGAAGCTGGAGGAAAATGGGTAGCTGATAAGGAGTGGAGGGTTTCTTTTTAGGGCAGTGGAAATGTTTTAAAATTGATTGTGACAATGGCTCTGTGGATATAATAAAAACAGAGGGTTATGCACTTTAGCTGGGTACAATCTATTGTCTGTGAAATGTGTCTTCATCAAATTGTTCTGAAAAAAAAAAAAAAAAAAGGAATGACCCGGGCTTCCTGGAGGCATGACCCGAGAAGCCCGCAGAGCTCTAGAAACACTTAGACTCCCTGTGGTCAGGTGGCACCTAGCCTTGGGGAGGCCAGTGTCCTGACTCTCCCACCCTGAGTCAGGACTGCGCATTCCAGAGTCTGCCTCTCCCATAGTCCTCAGGGCTGCTGCAGGAAGGAGTTGTTCCTAGGTTTCAGAAGGGAGAAATGCTGCAGAATTGCTTTACTTTCTCTCACAGAACCCACGGAGCACATATCTGGAGTGGGGCAGAAAGAGAGAAAGGTGAGGAGCAGACAGCTACAAAGTTCATCACCAATTCCACAACTGTCTAACTATGCCCCTGGTACCTTGTCAAATAGGAAGAAATTAGGGCACAAATAAATTCTGGAAGAGCAGCAAGTACTCTTAACCACTGAGCCATCTCTCCAGCTCCAGGGCTTCTGACACCCCTCACATAGACATATATGCAGACAAAACACCAATAAACATAAAATAAAAATAAATTATATCTATATACTAAATAAATATATTATATAAAAATATATTTATATAAATAAATATTTATATATAAATAATATATATAATTAACCATATATATGGTTAATTTTTTTAAAAGAAAGAAAGAAAAAGAGAGAAATGTGAAGCTCCCCTCGCCTGGAAGAGTCTGGGAAGACTGTGTGGAAGCGGGTGTAGGCGTGGCTGATGTGGGGCCGATGTGAAAACATGGGGTCATGCTTCACTCCTACCTGACGCTCCAAGCGCCAATTGCATACTGTCCCTGTTACAAGTGTGGCACTGGGAGACGTGGATTCAAGGTGCTAGAACGGCAAACCCTACACGTCCTGCCCTAGGGTCCACATTACTGGAAGCCAGAGTTCCAAGCTGGATGGAGAGGCATGCATGTCCCACAACTAAAAAGGTGAGGAGGTTCACTGTCATCCCAGACCTCATGCCCTCAAAACGGTTAAAGGAGCAGAACAATTGAACGTTCTCCACACAGCTTCGATTTCTCCCCTGTCCATTTCCTTCACGTCCATATAGATTACAGGAGAAAAATGTGTTCCAGGTTCTGAGTCAAATATCAGAAGGCAACACTGCTAATTTACCAGACATCGAGCTACTCCAGGGAAGTCCCTTGAAAAACCTCAAGGCCTGACCAGTGCGGGGCCAGCCCAAACTCACAGAAGGCTCCCTGCCCCGCAAAGTTCTGGCCCAGGACTACAAGGTCCCTCGTTCATCTTCCTGTGGAGACAGATTTTAGAGACAGGAATAGCTCAGCACCCTGGGATCCAGGTACAAGACAGCAAGGCCCTCAGGGTTCTTTGTAGCTGTTGTGACTTCTGAGCAGGTGGGGGCCTCCATTTGAACCTTGTACTTTTAGAAGGGGCAAGGCCTGGCGATGGTGTCCACTCTGGGGCTGGACACAGAGCTGTGTACATGAGAAAACAAGCAAACACACAGCCCCTTCCCAAATGTGGCCCCCATGCCCCGGGGAAGCTGGATGGAGGAGGGGGGACCGGAACCGACATGAACTCAATGTAACAGGGCAGCATTAAAACACTGTGTAGCCAGGCTGAAAATTAAACAGATGTGAGTTTCTTTAATTCAAAGCCTTCATTATTCTGACGTTTTCCATAACTTAATCTGAGCCATCACTTCAGCTTTAATTATGCATAATGAAACGGATTATTTACAGTAACTAACATGACAGGGAAAACCGAGGAGTGAGGATTGGTAACTTGGAGACTGTCGTGGATTCTTCCTTTCGGCCGGCCAGGGAATGCTGCACACCCTCTATGCTTCCCTTGCTGGCCTGGCAGGTGTCCCCCTGGGGTGAGCCATGAGCAGCTCCCTTCCCTGTCCCATCCCCCACGGCAGTAACAGTGGACAGCAGGTCCTACTTCCCCGGATCTACAGGTAGGCATAAGTGGAACTGAGAAAGGTCATGCAGCAGAGCCTATGATTTTCGCCACTTAGCTACTTCAAACAGAAGCTATCCAGCATTCCGAATCTTCCTCTTTATCCAGGAAAAGTTAACTAAAGGGCAAAGTGGTTTGATATTTTAGCAGAAAAGGGAAGGATCAGATTCTCACGCTCTTGTGAAATGGGCCTGAAAGCCCGTAGGCTGCCCTGAGGCCATAGAGGAGGCTGTACTGGGAATGAGGACGGTAAGCCAGGGCAGTGACCCAGAGGACCCTTGGGGACTATGCAGGGAGAGGAGCCAGCTTTGCTGTCCCGGGCTTCTGAGCAGAGTCCTGCTGGCAGTGCATCGGAGGAGGTCACCCGTCTCTGAGCCTTGACTTCCTGTGACCCAGGAGGGATTCACTGAGCAGCTCCCACTCAGTGGACTGAAATGCTCCCCGTCCCCTCTCCTCGGTACTTCGACAGACGAGACATCTGATACTCTGTCTACTTCCCTCCCTCCCTAGCCTTCTCTCTCATCTGGTTTTGGGGCAGTGTCTTCCTGCTATCTCCACGCTCACTATCTAGCCCAGGTTGGCAATCCTCCTGCCTGAGCGCTGGAATTCCTTCTCCTGTCCCTTAGCACCTTGCTTTCTGTCCCCCAGTTATCCATGGCAGCACCATTCAGGCTCCTACAAATCTAAATTCAACTTAAGTCTCATCTCCTGCTACCCTTCACTCCCAGGATGCTGCAGCTGCCTGCACGGCTCCTGCCACCTCCTCTCTGCCCTACAGGTTTGGGAAGAAGGTTGGGCAGAGAGGAAGGACAAGGGGCCAGGCCCTTGCTCTAACTGCCTTCTCAGTCTGTCATCTAATCTGACTCCTTCAGGCTGACCCATCTGCATGCAGGTTTGCCTGTTCTTCAGGACCCCTGGGATTCTCCACATCACTTCCATCCCTGACAGAGGGTTTGGCCAACCCCTCCACCTCTGGGGCTGCTGGGCTATACTTCCCCACGAACAGACAGACACCTGTTGTGGGGGAATGGATGGGTGGAGGAGATGGTACTTCCACTGACCCAATTACTCTCTTACTGCTCCTCAGTCATCTTCCCCAAGCCTGATGCTACCCATTTTGTTTTGTTTTCTGAGTGACGGTGGAGCCGGGCTGTGATAGTTCACCCACCTCTCTTTGTGCCTTGGCACGGTGCTTCCACAGTCGTGGGAATCTTGTAAAGGAACACACCACTCCCTAGTGGGCAGAAGCTCAACTCCAGTATTCCTCAGCCAGCCTGTGGACTGCAGAAGGGCCCGCAGTGGCAAATGGTGTCTGAGATAGTTAACCTCGTACACTCACCTCCGGGAATGTTTGTGAGCTAGTTTCTAAACTGCTTCATTGAGGTGGGACGATCTACCCTAAATATGGATGGTGCCATTACACAGGCTGGGGTTGCAGATTAGCTAAAAGGGAGTCAGCCAGCTGAGCACCAGCATCTCTCGCATGCTGTCTGACTGCAGCTGCAGCGCGCCAGCTGCCTGAGGTTGCTCCTAAGCCCGCCTTCCCCAGAAGTCCATTCCCTCCACCTGTGAGACAAGACCAGCCTGTCCTGCCTTGAGCCGCTTGTGCCAGGTTTTTGTTATAGCAACAGGCAAAGTAACTAACCGGTGTCAAGGGCCACCTCGCTTCACGGAGATACTGGGTCCCAGCTCTTAGCGACTGTCTGAGTCTCAGGGAGTTCCAGGTCTGAGTCCTACTCATCTCAATCCAGTCAGTAGAGACCCCTCATGTGCAGCTCCGATTGGGCAAATGACAGCAGGCCTGGTTGGTCACAGGGAGGTTGAGACCACCGTGTTCATGACAGGGACATGCAGCCACCATCTCAACGTGTCCCTTTTGCTCTTCTGACTTCTCTTGAGCTCTCTGTGGAGACATCGGGATGAGGACTTTGGGGACAGACCTTAGGCTAGCTAGCTGGCCTGTGGGACAGCAGTTTACCACACACGTAGGTCATCAAAGAACAAACAGACGACAGTGTTTAGCGTCTCCTTTAGTTACCACCAAGGCCTGTTTGACTCTCTGCCTGGCAACCAAGTCATGAGGGGAAGGAAGATTGTGGTGTCTGGAATAGATGTGGGTTAGAATGCTGGATGAAGATCCTGGACAGCCACACACACACAGGGACCCATCCAGTATGCGGGGGGCAGTTATTGTTCTTGCTGTCCTGGGAGTCACCTCAGGTAGGAGCTCTGTGCACTCTGAAGCCTTGCCTGGCCTGCTTGCGTTGCTGGACACCATTTCGTGAGGATGCCCTCAAAGAGGACTAGGCCACTGTGAGGCTGCACTCCTGTGAGGGTTTCTCAGCTGTGAGGAGTGACAGGCAGCCACTTTGGGGTGGCCAGCAACTTGGGGCCAGGAGTCCTGGAGCAGATGTGCTTAGAGGTAGCTGGTTTAGGGTGGCCTGCACCCTGGGGGCCGGGGGTCCTGGAGTGGATGCACTTGGAGGCAGCTGGCTTGGGGTGGCCTGCACCCTGGGGCCAGGGGTCCTGGAGTGGATGCACTTAGCAGCAGCTGGTTTGGGGTGGCCTGCACCCTGGGGTGCACTTAGAGAACCACAGCAGAACCCAGGCTTGTCCAAGCCTCACTCTGTTGTGACTGGCCTGGGCAAGGAGTCTTTCTGAGAACTAAGGTGGGGAAGGGCTTCTCAGAGCCCAGCTGTGTCTGGACATCAAGTCAGTTTTTGTGACAGTTTTCCTTCAAGGCATTGACTTGGCAAGTCATCTTTCCCGGAAACAGATATGGAGGGGCAACTGTCCCCCCAGGAGCAAAGGCCAGTCTTGATAGGCCCAAGACTCTACCTGACACTTCCTATATTCTGTGTTCCCCATTCAAGAGCTTCAAGAATCTTGGGTTATTATTTTTTAAAGATGTATTTATTTTTATGTGTGTTGGTATTGTGTGAGGGTGTCAGGTCCCCTGGAACTGGAGCTACAGACAGCCATGAGCTGCCATGTGGGTGCTGGGAATTGAACCCAGGTCCCCCAGGAGAGCAGCAAGTGCTCCCAACCCCTAAGGCATCCCTCCAAGCTCCGCGGAACATATGTGTGTGTGTGTGTGTGTGTGTGTGTGTGTGTGTGTGTGTGTATGATTTTTTTGAGACAAGGTTTCTCTGTAGCTTTGGTGCCTGTCCGGGAACTAGCTCTTGTAGACCAGGCTAGCTTCAAACTCTCACAGAGTTTTGTATCATTTTTAAAGAATACTTTCAGTTTGGATTATTGAAATTGAGACTTTTAAATTAAATATTATATTCTGAGAAGTAATAGATACATGATAAATGGAATTCACTCACGTTAACTTAGGGATAATTTGCAACTTTGATGAGTTACATACGTGAAACAGTGAGAGAAGGACCTGGGACGGTGTGACGATTTGTGCCTGCGTCCCCTAACCAGAGTTCTGAGATCTGCTCAAATATTCCTTTGCTTCCCTCACGGGTAGGTTAGCTTCCTTTATGTGGGTATTTACATTCAGACCTCAGTATTTGTGGGTAGCTATTTTTCTTCTTTCTTTACATTTGTAAATAAAATCTTCTCTTTTAGCTGACTGTCCTACAACGTACGGATGCTGGTTAGTGCTTTGTCTCACCATCTGTCTAACGGTTTCCCCGTGGATTCGAATGCACTTGCGGGAGCAAAGTCAGCGAACATGGGGAGCCCTCTGCTCCAATGGTTCCACGTGCCATTTCTTTTTCTTACTGAACTGCCAGCCTGTCCTTGCTGACCATTTACAGCTAATGAGAAGAGTGCTCGCTCCTGCTTCTGCACCCCAAGGCAGGATGCTAGCTGGCTTTTGGTGTCAGGCAGAAATGTTTTCTCCATTTAGGAGATGGTTTTATCTGGATTATTAGTTCTAAATCAAAATGGATTTTTAAATCAAAATGCTTTTCCAAGATCCATAAAAATGAACATTTGGTTTTCTTCTTTTATCTGCTAATAAAAAAAATAATAACTGGGCTTCCTCATATTGAGCCTGCTTCCCCCTGAGGCTTTAGCCTGTGGAGGGCAGACCTACAGAGTTAAAGTAGGCCATGAACGGTCCAGGTGCTTACTTGAGGTAAACATTTGAAGGTTCCCCAGAGTTTCTGAGCTATACTGTTTGTGTTGAGAGGTGGTGACATTTATTGTCACTAGGGAGGAGTGAGCTTACGTGGGATTCGAAGAGCAGCTTCTGTTCGAATCCTGTCACTTGGAATGCTATCAGCAGGTGTGTAGGATAAACAGGTCACACCGTTTGCGAGAACTTGGGTCCTTGGGATTGCCTACGGAAATCTCTCTGGCCTAACAGACTACACACCAAACACTTGTTTCCCACCTCGGCCAAGTCCTAGCTTTTTGATGGACTTCTATGATGTGGTCTATTTATGTTTCATCTTTTTGTCTGAGTCTGAGACTCTGGGTCACCCCAGAACTGCAGAGGCCTGGGGGATTCTGGGTGTGAAAGCAAACATTGTGCACCACCTTCAGCACAGAGGAATATGAACGCAGCCTCAAAGAAGCCAAACAGCCTCCTCTTCTAGGTCTCAAGTCCTAGGTTTCTACAAGGCCCCTGTCAGGCCCTGACACCCCCAGGTCCCTCCTTTTTGCTCTGGTTCTTCACAGACCCTCTCTCTTCCCACTGCACCCTGGAACGGCCCTTGCCTCTGTGTGTTGTCCGTGCCAATGGCTCAGCACAATGCCCACGTGTTCAACATGCTCTAAGGATCTGTCCGGTCTCTGCAGCCACAACGTATCGGTGTCAGGTTTTACACATCTCTTAGCGCCCTGTGGGTCTCCATGATCACGATGGCATCCACTGTGTACTGAATTGAGTTGCTCGTCATCTCTTCGGAGTCCGCCGCATGTGCGTCTGTGTCTTTCACATTTACTGGTGAACCGTCAGCAAATGTGGAGCTCAGATCTTCTGCCTACCTCACATCTGTGCTTGACACAGCCTCCTCCCGTTCTCCTACCAAGACGAGGGAGAGTGAAAGTTTCTGTTTGGGAAGCGATCACGTGACATTCTGACAATGGCTCACAAAGGAAATCCCCAGAGAGCAGAAATGAGACAAGCGCTTGGCTTGACTGTATCCACGGGGAAGAGTTGAGACCAAAGTCTTTGCTCTTCACAAGCACCCAAGGACCACATGTTCTTCACCAGCCAGAAAATGAAGGACCCAGCAGAGGGCCCAGGGTACTTGAACCCGAGGTGTATGGAAGCTGTTTATACTTTTAGAAGCCTCCTCTAGGACACTAGCGTTTGTGCTACCCCACAGCACAGCAGGGTGCTGGGGAGTAAGGGACTTCCTTGGAGTCCAGAGTCTGATGTGAACATGAAACGGCACCAGGCTGCTGCACCGAAGTTTTTCCATGAGCACCAGACAGAGGCAATCATGGGGGTCTTGAGAAAGTTCCCTGATCTCGTCAGCTGGGTTCAAATCTCTGCTGGAAAAGAGGCAGCCTTCAGTGTGATGCGTCTCCTTTGTGGTTTTGCTCTATAGCATTTCCCCCCTGAAACAAACTGTAGAATTGTAGATCTTGTCATTAGGCTCTTGGGGGTGAATAGCAGCCATTTGGGTAGCCCCAGCGCCACAACAGAGTTGACACTGGAGTCTCACAGAAGAGTGGGGTTCAGTTCAGTCACAGGGTAACGCAGGAGTGAAGCCAAAGGTTTCCTGTTTCAGGTCTCTGTTCCACAGAGCAGTTTCCTCCCCCCGCCCCCCCGCCCTCTGTGACTGATGGAGAAGAAGATGGACAGCTTGCTTGTGTGTTTGTCATTCGTGCACATGTGGTGGGGGTGTGTCCCAGAATGCTCAGGACACTAGAGAGCTAACTCTGCAAAGTGGTCCTCTGACCTCCACATGCCAGGTCTCACCTCCCACCTCGGCGTGGGTTCTGGGGATTGAGCTCAGGACGTCAGGCCTGCATGGCCGGCATCTTTACCCATGGATCCCATCTTACTGTCCCTGAAGGAGTATTTGCTGATAGTTTCAGGTGAGGGCAGACTGAGTCTCAGAATCAGAGCTATACTTTAGAGAAACAGGTCGTGCACTACCACATGGTGTTGGGGGCCCAGGGTGGTCAGCTTCCTGTCAGTAATTGAAGTGAAGAAGGCTTTAACTGTCTCAACACTAGATTTCAGGAGGAGGCTCCAGAAGCCCATTCTTGGAAAGGCTGTGATTCATAGGCAACAAGCATTTCATGTGTCAAGATGCTGCAGCCGGCTCTGTATCTGCCAATCCATCTTCACCTGCCTCTTCTTTGCCCATGTGTTAGATGCCAGCAAATCTAATTTGATTCTTATTAAGACACATGTGAAAGTCAAAGTCCATTAAAGCCTCTTTCCTGCTCACCAGACTCCAAAAGAACCTTCTGGAAGGCCAGCCTCAGGATGGAAATGAGGTGTCTTGGGGAGAAGGGTTAGCTTTGAGCCTCTGACCTTTTTGCTACAGCTTGGCTGGCCACCTCTGGGCACATCACGTTGAGATGGGTGCCATGGGACATCCATCAGCCTTACTTGAGGGACCTGAGGGATGAGGGTTAATACTCTGAGCACTGCATCTCACTAATGTACCACTTCAGCACGCAGACCCTGGCCACTGGATTATTGCAATTGCTACCATGGTGACTACTTCTCTGTTGGCAGGGGATCTGGGGAATGGGGCACTGACATTGTACCATGGCTACCTTTATTGTCGGTATCTCCTGTGAATGCTTCCAAGCTTTTTATTTCATTTGCATGATCTTGGCACGTGACCTTATCCTGAGAAGAGGTCACCAGAAGGACAGGGCACCTCTTACAGGAAGTAGACTGCCACACTAGGCCTAGCTTGAGCATATCTGAGACCACAAAGCCCACCTCCACGTGACACACTTCCTCCAACAAGGCCACACCTCCTAATAGTGCCACTCCCTATGGGCCAAGCATTCCAATACGAGTCTATGAGGGCCATTCCTATGCAAACCATCACACCGCCCCAGCTCACTATAGTTAGCAAGATTATAAAAACATGAGAGAATACGGCCTCTGAAGTGGTCAAGTCTGGCACAGTATCATGGGGACCTTAGAATGTCCCCAGTCTTTCCTGTGTGAAGTACACGCCCCCTTAAATGATAAAATTCCATATCTCTGATGAAGTCCAAAGTGATCCATGTGCCCTCCTGACTCTCTCATTTTCTCCTCTGAAATCAGTATTAATCACACTGACTGATCATCCACAGGAAGTCCCTGAACAGCCTCCAGCAACAAACCATCCATTGCCCTTGACATTGGTAACGGCTGAGGACAAATCCCCCGTGATTCTGGAGTCTCTAGTCAGTTCCTACACTCAGTTCTCACATGACCTCATAAATCCAACATTGCCCCAAGAGGGAAAACAAAGTTCCCGAATCTTCTGGGCCACTGCAAGAAGAAGGCGTGATCACCGTGCTAAGGCCTGCAAGAGAGAGGGTGATGTCATCATCACGCTAAGACCTTGAAGTGTTTCCTTTCCTGGCTCTTCATGAGGCTGGGAGGGAGGAGGGAGAACCGGAGCCTTTGTTCCCCCGCGGCAGCGGATTTCATGGCTGCTTGGTCTGGCTGTCTCCTTGGCTCCCAGAAGACTTCACATTTTCGCTTTGCAGTGCCTGGAAAGCATTGGGTCTCGGGGATGACCAGTCCCCTTTGTTGCCATGAAATGGAAGCCAACAGCTGTGTGTTTATGTCTCCTTGTCTCTGTTTAAACCTGCAGGGGAGGCCCTGCACCTGATCCACCTGCCCGCCACTAGGACCGTGGCAGAGAATGCGCCACCTGCGACTTTGGTGCATGAGTTTTCTGTGAATTTATCAGTGTCGTTGTCACCTGTGATGCCAGGATTTCCGATGGTCGCCAACCCAAGCCCCTTCACTGAGGCCTTCAGGGTGAACAGACTATCGGGGACCGACTTCGAGGTGAGCAGCCTCTGGCTCTTGCTTCCCGTCTGCAAAGCAATTCCAGAAACCCTTTCCTCCACCACTGCTCTCGGTTCTCTTCTGCCAAGGAACTCCAGACTGGCTGTGCTAGATGCCCCGACAGGCCTTGGCCTTTCCTTCCCTTCTTCAGCAGTCCCAAAGGAACATGTTCTGACCTCATGTTTTAGTGGGTGGTAGTGTGCACGGGCTGACCCTTTTCTTCAGAAGGGAGGAGGTGAATCTTGACATTTTGGGTTCTGGTGACCTTGAACCTAGGGAGTCTACTCTGCTGTGACACTGTGACTTTTTAGGGGACATTCTGAAAGAACAAGTATTTCTAATATGAAAGACACGCACCCACGTGTAAGCAGAAGTCTCTGTGTCTAGACCCGCAATGTGCGTGTTTGCTCACAGACTTGAGGGGCATGCCACGGTTGCTCTGTTGTCTAGTCTGCCATTTGAGTCTTTCCCAAAGTTCTCACTTCCCCCTAGGGAGAGCCAACCTGAAGACATCTTTAGGATGCCACTGAAGTTGACTCACACACTCCTGCTCTTGAAGTCATCAAGGTACCGTGGTTGTAGCTTTAACATTGTCTCCATCCACAGATGAGGAAAATGAAGCACAGAGAGGCTGAGTGCTTGGCCCTAGCTTGCACAGCTAATATGTACCTGAGTTGTGACTGGAGACCAGGTCGTCTTATTTAATAAAACAAAAACCACATATTTATTGAGCTATTAATTCACGATTAGAACCCACTACTGCCAAGCGGAGAGTCTCCTCAACCTTAAAGGGCTAGTCATGCCCCCTCCCCCCACCATTCTCCTTGACAAGTGACTCTAAGGACAGCTCTGAGCCACCCAGGCAGGGGAAGAATCACAGGTAGGGCTGAGCAGCAGCAGCCAAGGAGCTCTCCAAGGTCCTGTGGAGACCGTGCCTGCCCCTCTAGCCTCCCAGGCCATAGTCTGACGCTGCTCTTTTCCTGTTAACTGTTCCGAGCGCTATGGACCCTAAACTCTGCTCAGCTTCGTTCAGGATGAAGCCAATGCCCACATACACAGAGTCAAACTTACTGTTTCACTCCAGAATTCTGCAGCCCAACTGAAGCTCCCCACTCCTGCCCAGTTCCCTTCCCTGAATTCATGAAGTGGAGCGTGAAGCGATGTTCACCAACCTACAGCTGCCGTGACAAGTGAAATACCAAAAACAGCTCAGCAAGAGGTGGATCCATAAACATTTGTAAATGCTGGTGAGACCAGACAGTTTTTCCATTTGTGTTAGTAGCCACACAACCCCTTGGTTCTGAGATGGGTACTTGCTTCCTGCGGAGTGCCCCAGCTAGTTCCCAAGGAGAGGGAAGCGGCAGTAGGTGATGTGGAAGGAAAAGGTCCATCTAACAGGATTCAGAGAAGGCGCCAGGCTGAGCAGGAAGCTGGTGGATAAAGGAGGAGGACTGGACTGTCTACAGGCCAGCGGGGTGTTGTGCTCCCCACCAGTTTCTGCTACCCAGGGGTCAAGTCAACCTTTGCACAAGGTTCTTACTGCCGGATGGTGTTGATCACAACCCCCAAATCAGCCCACTCAAGCTTCTCAGTGGCCTTGTGAAGCAGGTGTTATCTTCATGTCACAGATGGGGAAACTGAGGCATGGAAAACCACTTAACAGGAAACTGAGCTTTGAAGTTGGTCGATTGGGCTCACAGTCCCTGCTTATGGTGGTGCTATTCTGCCTCCTCATCCGTAGACAGAACAGACAGAACAGACGGCCCAGCTCTGATTAACTATACACAGACGGGCTCTCTGGAGACGCCAGACGACCTCTTCCCTTTCTACCCTCACCCGTCCTGTCTTCCACGTACACACCTGTGGCTACCACCTCTTCTTATAACCGGTCTAGATCTCACAAGGTCAAACCTGATACGCGCCACCTCCTCCATGCAGCCCTCTCTAAACAGAGACAGCCTTCAACAAAGTCCTCTCCCTCCTGGTCCTCACCTCTGCTACAAAGTGTCAGCTGCTCGCCTAGCACAGGGATGGCTCCCTGAGTTATAATCACATGGAAACAAAAGCAGAAGGGAAAGCGACTCCCCTGAGGCACACCGAAGTTCAGCAGAGCCAAGGACCAGAGCCGAGTACTTTCATCACAGGATGCAATTGTCCTGGTATCAGCTGCCAAAGCTCTGGAAGAAAGACCGTCCTTCAGCTAGGGTTAGAGTGCGCTGGTACAGGAGTAGCCTAGTGTGTGTGAGGTTCTGGGTTCAATCCCCATTAATGTGAACGAAAGGAGAGAGATGGGGACAGAGAGGAGAGGGGGAGGGAAGATGGAGGTGGAGAGGACAGGAAAGACAGATTAATCTTGGAAGTCAGCTTATTCTGACATCTACTCCTATAGCAGCATGCCGCAGACTGGGTAACTTATAAAGAAAAGAAAGTGATTTTTTCCTGTTCTGGAGACCGGGAGTCCAAAGTCAAGACCAGGGCCATCTAGCTGCAGAAGAGCGTGGTCAACACACCATGGTGAGGGGATAAGGGAGAGAGTGGGGTGGTTAAACAGGAAAAGCAGCTTGGCTCTGTAACCCACTTTTGTGATAAAGCATTGAGAATGTTCACCACCCACCGTCTCTAACCCGTTAGCTCACACCAGCGTGATGCAACACCAGTCATTCCTTTCCAACGGGGACATTTTAGGGGACAATTAAACTACAGCGATGCCCCTGAGCTTGTAGGAGTTGTGTCCAGGGTAGCTAGGGGCCTGTCTTGGGGTCTAGTGCTAAGTGTGGTAGGTTTTAAAATTCCGAGGTTTTCCATCTCCAGTTAATTGCTCCAGAATGTCTCCAGAAAAGTTTTCTTTCCTAAGAAAAGCAGCATCACCTACAGGAGTGCCTTCTGGGGCTTATGTCGGAAGGACTAAGGCTGCCCTGTCAGAGGAGAGGCCCCCTCTGAAAGTGAGGATGGTCACTAGGAGCAGGTGGCTCCCTTCCTAGTCAGAGCCCCTCGCATATAATGCAGGCTTTTCGTTTTCATGCTGAGAGTCTCATATTCTGTTCCAGGTTGTCACCAGTGGGAAGGAACAACTAGACTTCGAAACAGGACCCAAAGTTTTCGATTTGCAGATTTATGTGAAGGATGATGTGGGTGTCACAGACTTGCAGGTCCTGACCGTCCAGGTGACAGATGTGAACGAACCGCCTCAGTTTCTTGGCAACTTGGCGCAAGGTGAGACATACCAGACAGTGGCATCAGAGAGGACCCTGAGGGACAGAGTCAAGCAGAGCAAGCAGCGGTTTCCTCAGAAAAGGCAGCTGCCTAACAAGCAGGGAAAAATGAAATTTCTTCCCCAGCACACACAGTCACGACATCCAGCAGCTTTTAGAGCCTTGTGTCTGTGCTTCTCTCTCTCTCTCTCTGTCTCTCTCTCTCTCTCTGTCTCTCTCTCTGTCTCTCTCTCTGTCTCTGTCTCTCTCTCTCTCTCTGTCTCTCTCTCTCTCTCTCTCTGTCTCTCTCTCTCTCTCTCTCTCTGAGTCCTGGGAAGAATGCTGAATGCAGGCACCTCAAAATGAAACCTTTTAGCTGATCCTGGGCTCAGCCCACCACAGTTTGCCACCTTTCTGCAGCCATGGCTCAGCTGTCTTCTTGTACATCATGGACTCTCTGGGCACGATATGCCCTGGGCCTGCCTGGGAGACAGTGGGGATGCCAAGGATGGAAATCTGGGGACATAGCTTGGCGGTAGAACGCTTCCATCACACGCATCACGCCGTGAGTTCAATCGCCAACATCACAGATAAAAGGACAAGGGGTGATGGTTTGGCTGAGCAGGGAGAGCCTCTCATTATGCAGTCCCGGCAGCCTGTTTCCATATGCAGCACAGACCTCGAACTGGAAGGAGAGCTGATCAGCAGAGCTGTTCCTGATCTTCACACACACGCTATGGCGAGCTCACAAACACACGGCACACACAGACACCGATCAAAAACCTAATAACAATAAAAATAAAGAAGATGGAAATAGGGCATTTCCCATCAGATCACCGCAAGGTGTTGGCTGTGTGTAGTGAGCTCTCGGAACAATGAGAACCCAGGTCCATTGTTTCTCCTGGGCTCTCCCTGAACTCACAGCGCAGACCTCATCTGTTTACCCAATGTCTCTTGGCATCTGAAGGGCTTCTGATCTTAGCAATCCTCTCAAACCAAACTCTTTACCTGCCAACCCACCCTTCTGTGTCCTAACCCCCACCCTTCTGTGTCCTCACCTCTACTCCACCCTTCTCTGTGTCCTCACCCCTACCCCACCCTCCTCTGTGTCCTCACCCCTACCCCACCCTTGTCTTCATATCTGTTGCCTTCTGCTGGTGTCCACGTGTGTTTCACAGGTTCACTTTAACATAAAAAGATGGATCTGAATGTAACTATCAATCACACTGGAGGCACTAGAGTGACTCCCAGCTTCCCTCTCATCTTGGTCCTCTTTCCCGCTAACAACAGTCCGGGTCACCTCCCAGTGGAGGAGTTACTGAAGGTGTGACACCTAGCATTGTGTAATCTCCAACAGCTTGGCTCAGGCCGCCTCTCCCTGGGTCTTATCTTGGCTGATCTCTGTCCCGAGATGCCTTGTTGGTTCCCTTTAGTTACAGTGTCTGGGAGGCCTGGGGTTGGAGTTCCCTATCTGATGAGACACTCTTATTCCCTTTGACTTGGAACAGGTTTAAACCTCTATGTAACAGAAAGAACAAATCCTGGATTCATCTACCAGGTGGAGGCCTTTGACCCAGAGGACACAAGCCAGAACGTACCCCTCAGCGTAAGTTCCCTAAGCTGCTGCTGTGCACACCAGCTTTGGGGCAGGAGCCTGCCGGCCGAGCCTGCCGGCCAAGCCTGTCAGGTGGGCAGCGGGGTCAGCACCGGGATGTACTGCACTTCTAAGGTCGAGCCAGGGCTCTGTGAGTGTGGCTCTTTGTGATTTGGGACAAACTCTCAACCTCGTTGAGCTCCTGTGCTTCCTGAGCGACAGTGAAAGCCGGAGAGCGGGTGGCACAGGCAGGGCTAGGTCACGTGAGAGGCTGCATGTGAAGCCACCCGGCCCAGGCCAGGCAGAGCTGGCAGCATTCCCTTTCAAGATGATGCAAAGCCATCCTGCTATTTTGAACACGAGCACAAAAGGTACACCCCCAAACCAGACAGTGACGTCCTTCCTAAGACAGCCGAGCTTGCCACAAAGACGTTTTCCTTTTCAAGGGAAAATCAAGTCTCAGGGATTTTCGGTGCAGACAGGGACTGGGGAGACTGTTGCCTCCCCATCTAGTCTGAGAAGGCTGAGAGCTCCTTGCTCCCACTTAAAATCCTTCCCTCTTGGAACTGGGTCTTTTGGTCCCAGCAACCCCAGGTGAAGCCTCTTAGCCTTTCCTGGAAAGGGTGCCTTGTTTTGCTTTGCTGAGGCTGAACTTGCCCTGCAGCTGCCTGGACCAGCCTGGAGGAAAACAGGAAGGTTTACCAAGGGCACAGGTGCCCGGCTGCCAACCCCGCCCTCTAGAGAAGAGCACGCTGAAACAGGGCAGTCAGGCTGTAGCAACACTGGCAGAAAATGGCAGCTAATGACCACGCAGGTGGGATGTTTAAGAGGACGAGAAGGGAGGTCTGTGTTAGAATGGGCTAGGATGCCATGTTTAAGAGGACGAGAAGGGAGGTCTGTGTTAGAATGGGCTAGGATGCCATGTTTAAGAGGACGAGAAGGGAGGTCTGTGTTAGAATGGGCTAGGATGCCATGTTTAAGAGGACGAGAAGGGAGGTCTGTGTTAGAATGGGCTAGGATGCCATGTTTAAGAGGACGAGAAGGGAGGTCTGTGTTAGAATGGGCTAGGATGCCATGTTTAAGAGGACGAGAAGGGAGGTCTGTGTTAGAATGGGCTAGGATGCGATGGTAAAGGAGGGGACAGGGAGAAGAGGAAGGGGGCAAGAGAAAGGGGAAAGGGGTGTTTGTCCTGGAGAGAGAGGAGACAGGCATAGCCCATAGGCAAATGGCAGCTTATAAAGGTAAAGGGGGAAACCCCGTGTTAGGGTGAGGCGCTTAATTTTATCTGGGCATGTCCATCAGGTGAATCAAATGGGGTTTTTGATTGCTGAGCTTTGGTAGTCAGCCTTTTAGGAGAATTAAGTGGCCAAATAAGGGACTACAACTTGGTGGCTAGCTTTAGGAATGGATCTAATGGTTTTTAGCAAGGCGGGGGTGGGGGGGTGGGTGTGTGGACGACGACAGTGGGGAGCAAGGTCTGCCAGAGCCGCCTGCTCTGGTGGGCGAGTGACCTTTCAGGAAGTGATAGCACCCCACAGACCGTGTAAAAGGGGGTGCATCCAGAAGCTGCTACCTTTGCTTCTTCATTGGGTCCTTTTAAAAGAAACTTGATCAGCACCAAATTGTATGTTGTTTCAACCACGCTTGTCCATTACAGTATTGCCCTGTGCAACTGGAGACCAATGCTGGCATATGTGTTTCTCAGTGTTTTCATGAAGTCAGGTGGCGTTAATCATTGTTAGATCACAGACCCTCTATCTCTCCTCCATCGCAGAAATCAGGTCACACAGCCCTGCAGTCCGTCCCTTAGGACAAAGAACCGGCAGGAACCTGCAGCGATGCAGCCCAGCCCCTCCCATCCCCTCCGCTGTCCAGGACTGAACCAGTACCTGCCTCCCAGAATACAGGCTGAGTGACAAGGGGGTACTTCCCACCGTTCCCTAGAAACCCAGGGCTCAGAAAGGTCACTTTGTTAACGGATTCGAAGGTTCTTTCCTTCGGGATTCCTGTCACGCTAAACACAGCAAATGTCTCTCCTAAGGAAACTGTTCTTTGGAACTTGAAGGGAGGAGGCTCCCTCTCCTGCAAGGCCCTGCCATGCTGCCTACTGTAACTCCCGCACTCATGCTCCCCACCGCACACAGATACACACACAAACACATACACACACACACACACACACACACACACACACACGTTGTGACTGCAAGCTGTCCTTCCTGATATGACTCCCCTGTCAATTCTTCTATTCAGACCTGTTCTTCTGTTCTTTCTCTCTAAGTTAGCGTAGTTATAATATAGCTCAATTCAATATGTATAACTACCATCAAATGACATATGAGATAATTATTCACTTTCCCCACGATCTTAAAACATGGTGTACGCTTTACTCCTGGGCTCACCCATTAGACCAGCCCCATTTCAGGTGCTCGGTGGTGACGGTGACACAGGGTGATGGCTGGTGGGGGTGCCCAGGCTTTTATCTTGATATAGTTAGATTCCCAGGGGTTCTTCCTGGATTCTGATGAGGACACAGGTGGCTGGGATCCAGAGGCTGCACACAAAAGGAAAGATGCTGTCCCTGGGAGCTTTCTTCCGGTATCCACTCTGTTTTTTTCCCACCTGCTGAAGAAGGCTTGTGAGAAACCCCATTCCCACGCCTCCTCCATCCCGCTCCTTGCCAACAGCCCCTTGGCTGCAGCTGAGGCTCCTTGGAGGCTCTGAGGATACGTATAGATTTTGCAGCTGGTGGCAAAGTGATCTAGTGTACAACCCCTCCATTAGAGAGTTTTCTCAGACCTGTCCATTAAGGAGGCCTTTTGCATGAAATGAAGTGTGCTTTGTCCTCACCAGGGCAAATGAAGGATTAAATTAAAAGGGCAATAACCTCACTGCTAGGAGAACATCAGAACATCCTGACTTATATCTTCCTGCTCACGACGGTGGGAGGAGTCTAGCCGTTCCTTTATTCTAGGAATCCTCTATGCCAAATGGACTGATAAAGGTCATGGATAGACAGAATTTTGTATTTCTTTGTTTATTTTCTTGTTTACTGTTAGTGTGTGGGGAATATGCATGTGAAGGTCAGAGAACAACTTTTATTATTATTTATGTATTTGTTAAAGATTTCTGTCTCCCCCCCCCCCCCCCCCCCCGCCCTCCCTTC